CTCCAAGAATATATAAAGTGGCAGCATATGGAGTAAGCCACTGACCTTTGTCAAGCACTGTGTGCTGGACTTGGATGTTAGGACAGATGTCAGATTTGGGACACCACTGATATTCAGCTGATGTTGCTGAAACTCTTTATCTTCACTATCCTTAGAGGATGTTGCTTGCCAGTCACCTAGAGCTTGATTCACATAGATGCATGTGTAAAATAAGAATGGTGACTTATCCTACCAGAGTTAAGATTTTTCAAGCTGCTGTTGTTACAGTGGATCCGTTGATCTGATTTTCACCCTACTTTTTAGAGTCCATAGCTACCAAAGATTTTCTATTGTGAGAGGACCCAAAGGCCTGGCTATAACCCCCCTTCCCTCCAAAGTAAGACTTTTTGGTGAATGTGTAGCCTCTGATGGGATCCACACTGATGACAGCATTTTGAAGAACCAGGGTAGCAGCTCCCTGTATGTCTGGGGCTACTGTTATTAAATTACAATCAAAATATAAATATTGTAATGTGGTAGCATTGGCATTCTCAGTGTCTGAAAAAGTATAATGTCAGCTTATCAATAAGGATGCTAAAATGTATATTTAATTTATCATTCTTATTTCACTTAATAAGATTTTGGCATGGAACCTGAAATGTCTTTTCTGTGAGCTTATCCAGTTTTTTCCCCCAACTTCCTTATTTAAAATTTCCAGTATTCTGTACTAACCAATTTAGAATCTGAAAAATACTAGCCGGTATGTCCCTGCCAATTAGGATAAAGAATTTGTCTGCAAAGCATATGGAAACTTTACTTCCACAATGAAAATTTAGGTAAAATGTATTCCTATTAGAAAATTGACATGTTACTCTCAAACAGCACATACAGAAACAATTATCTTACTTAGATTTACAACAATAAGGATGAAATATGGAATCAATATATAATGGAGAATTTTGAAATTGAGTTCGCCAGCCAATTAAAGAGAACTTAATCAGCTCTGACACTTCATTTCCTCATTGTCTTGTCACATTCTTCCAAAAAATTTAAATGATAGAAGAAATGATGTTTTCTCATTTTCAAAAAAAAAGTCAAACAGAAACTGTAATAGTTTAAGTTGTCTTTTTTCCTCTTCATTTGGTTATACTAGTGTTGATGCTGAAGTCCTGGATAGGTTAAGGGGAAAAAACCCCATTGTGTCATTAGAAGGTATGAATTTATTTACTAGAGTTGCTGTATCCTCTGCTAACTAGTGTGCAGTCCAACTACCTGAAGGAAAAAATGTTTATGTACCCTTCATTCAGCTGAATTTCTTTAAACATCTGAGACATGTTGACCTTTTCCTCCTCTCTGTCTGCAGTTCTTGTTTAAATCTTTCTTTTTTATTTTAAAATACAGACTGAGCTGAAGAGTGGAATATTGAGCTTCCTGTTAAAAACTGGTGTTGTCGTTACACAAGTGAATCTCTGGCTAGGGCTGTCTTACTGTGATGGAAAGTGGAAGAAAGTAATTGTTAAAAAGGAAGGCTTGGTGGTTTCAGCAAACATGAATCAATTGAAAGAGCAAGTGCTGGAGCCCCATGCTCAGCAGCTGGAAGTGAACTCTCCAGTCTACATAGGAGGAATTCCATCTGAATTAGAGGATTCCTATAAAGACCTGGGGCTACAGCAAGGTAAGTAACTTCAAAGAAAACTTCTGTGTTCTAAGAACTGGTACCATTTCTTCCATAAATAGGTGCCTTCACACTGAGTCAAACAGATATGCAGTGAGACTGTCTTGAACTTCCCCTTTTTAAAGATTAATATAACACTCTTTTGGCTCAGGAACTTATCTGCCTATGGTGCAAAACTACAAACAATGACAAGCTATTACTAGGTTGAGATTCATTCTAATAAAATTTGTAGTTGTCTCAGGCAGGTGGTGTCAGACTCTGGACTGGACAGAACATGCTCTTGTTGGAAGAATAAGATTGATGCTTTAAATCATTATTTATGGTCTTGGTTTTTTTTTTTTTTTTTTAAGGTTTCCCACCATGCAGTAATAGCACAACTGGGACTTGATCTCCAGTCCCAAAATTCTATGTCCTGCTATGAATGTCTGGCATGGCAGGAGGCACAAATTTGGGGATCAGGGAACAGATCCCATCATGCCATTAAGTGAATATGTGCCATGGATCTTAGATTTTGTCTAACCTGGTCTAGCTGAGATGACAGCCTCTTGATTTACATATCATTTGCTCCTAGTTAGCAGTGTTAGATTTGATTGAGATTGGTCTGTCTGTACCCTTGTTGTAAACTGGACACTTAAAGAGGAAGGAGCTATATATAATTTCTCTTCCACCCCAACTCTTGTATTATCCAGAAAACCATACTATCTATCACACAGTATTCTGGGTAGGAAAAATGTTCCATCCATGTAGGAACTAAATGTAGATTTGATCTTTATTCTATATGAAAATAAACTGTTTTAATTTAAATATTATAGGTATTAGAAAAACATGGTATATGATTTGTAGATGACCACTCCCATTTCTTTAGATTGTTAAAATTCCCCAACTCTAGTGATATCAACTTAAGCAGTTATAATCAAAAGAGCTGAATCAGAGAAGTAATAAACATTTACTTGTAGGATGTACATGCAGAAGAGTAAGAAATGCCTTTAGGAGAGAACCAGCTTAGACTGATTTTTCAGAGTCCACTGACAAAAGTCCCCTCCAGGATCTGGAGTGACAATATGCTCAGCCAATGAAATGCAAGAGAGATGCATTAAATCACTGGCATGCTATCATACAGCAGGATGCTGTTACATGTAGTGACTGCTGAGAGCTGATTAACCCTTTCCCAGCAATGCTGAAGAAAGGCAGAGTTTTCATTGAATGCAGCATTCTGAATGTCAGATGTTCTGGGTTGACCAGCTGTGATTGGCACAGGGCCATGAAGAGTGGAGACAAGGGTGTGTTTAACCAACTTTTGAATTCCTCCAATTCTGGAACAGAAATAATTGACATTGTAAACAGAACAGCACAGAGTTGTTATATTTTATACCCTGCTGTTCATGGTCCCCAGCCAAAGATCAGCTAAATGCAAAATGTCTGCAGTATGGTCATAAACTTGACCCTGTGATATTTGGCCTCCTTTTGGTTTATGAGTCCTGTTATGAAGCTCTTGCTGTTCACAGTTTCTTTTTGGATATTGGTAAACAAATGACAATTAGTAGATTAATAATGAAGTTTTCAGTGTTGGTATTCAGAACTTGAACTTTACAGATGGTTTCAATGCATGTGTTGATATTGAATATAGGTAAACAAGCAAATCTGATTAGTTTTTAAATTCACAGCTGTAGGAGGCTTAAAATCAATTAAAAGCACTACAATTCTTAGATTGTTCTTTTTTGGGGGTGGGGGGGCAGGAAAGGTGGGGGCAAACCAAACCAAAATATTCTTTGTATCCTGTTAATACTACATGTTACCAGCTGTACTAGATGGCACAGCTTCAGAGTTGATACACACACACACTGCCTTCAGGACAGGGATCTATGAATTTTTGGGCCAAAAGTTGGTGTCTAAAGTATATATGTTAAAGCTCTCACTAACCTCAGCTGGGAATTGCAGATGCTCAGTAATGAAGCCATTTCCTTAGGTTTCTAGATGTATACACATGAGCAACTTTTGGCACTCACATTTAATTTTTTTTACTTAAATGCATATTGTAAACTTATATCTAACCTTATTCAGTTCTCAGATGAAGCCTTTTAATTTTTTTCAGTGTGAGCCAATCAAATGATGATAGTGATGAGCAGCATTAAGCAGAAAAGAAATGAGACTAGAAAGGAGCATAACTGTACAGTGTGTTAGGCACACACCCTAGGTATAGGAAAATGATGTATTCTCATAAAACAGGAGTGGGCAGGGGGTATATGGTGGGAGATGTAAGAGTTTGGGGGGTTTTGCATAAATGGTGGCCAGAACCTAGGACTGTTCTCTCTAGAGTTATTGCCCTCATGAATCTGTTCCCATGAATCTTGTATTCATTCTTGCACATGGCATAGCTTCAATGGGAGGATTGGGGAAGAAAGACCCCATGTCAGCCTAGCCCAGGGGCAGACAAAGTCTGGCCTATGGGCCAGATTCAGCCAGCAGTGGACACCGTTTCTCAGCAGCCCCTGCCTACATGGCCGGGGCTGGTTTCCATGGAGAACCCAGTCGCAGCTGCGCTGTAATAGCATAAGGTTTGGGTTGCCATGAAGACTGGCCCCAGCCTCACTAGCAGGCACATGGCAGAGCAGGGCAAGGCAGGGGATGGCTCTGGAGCCACTGGGATCTTGTAATAGAGGCAGCTTGGTCAGGGCCAGGGCAGAGCCATGATCTGCAGCCTGCATGTTCTGGGCAGGGGTGTGCAGGCAGTGGATCGCGACTCTGCCCTGGCTCTTTGCAGTGGTGACAGCATGGTCCCAAGCCAAGGAAGAGCCACAATCTGCTGCCTGCTCACCCTTGCTTGGAGCATGCAGATTGCAGCTCTGCACTGGCCCCAACCAAGCTGCCCCCCCTGCAAAATCCCAGTGGCTCTGGAACAGCCCCCTACCCTGCCCTGCCATGCAGCCTGGCAGTATGGCTGGGGGGGGTG